TTTACTTTTTTGAATGTCAACATAGAGTTTTAATTTCATATTCCAAAGCAGAATATTTTTCTAAGTATTTTGATTCATAAAAATCGAATTTAGGGCTAGTAGTTTATGAGTTATAACTTATTATGATGATATATACTAATTTATAAGTTATAACTTATAACTCATAAACTACTTAGCCCTAAATTCGATTTTTATGAATCAAAATATTTAGAAAAATATTCTGTTTTGGAATATGAAATTAAAACTCTATGTTGACATTCAAAAAARTAAAAAACTTAAAAAATGATAAGGATAAAAAATATTTAAAAATATAATTTTTTAATAAAAAAGTTGGTTTTTTAACAACTTGAAACTATGTAAAAAAATATTTTGAAAAAGTCAATACTTTTTTAAATAATGAGTGTTGTTTGATAAAAGAATCACCCTGTATATATTATAAATTTATAAACATATAATAATACTATGCGAAATTGCGAACTGATTAAATTTATGTTACTGTGTGTGTATAGTGCAACGATTTACCAGTTAGGTAGGTATACTGAGCAGTCGTATTTATGTCGCGCTCGGAAAATGCGCTTAGATCAGCGTTTCTTAAACTTTTTATCCGTGGAACCCTTTTTGATGTCCACTTTTATCGTGGAACCCCTACTTCTTTTTACCTTTTTAGTTTCTTTTAGGATTATTTGCAAATAAATTATAATATTAAGTAGAAGTATAGATTATTGAATATACAGAGTTAGCAGATAGATTATTCCATATTGCTTATACATTATTATTTAATATACAAGTATTATTTTCCATAATGGATATTTTAAAGTTATTTTCTTAAACATTTAAAAAAATTTACTTAAGCTTCCCGGAACCCAGAAGTGATCTACACGGAACCCTAAGGTTCCGCGGAACATAGTTTAAGAAACGCTGGCTTAGATAAACAGAACACGGAAAAGTACACCTACGAGTATAAGTAAATCGAGTTTATTAACGGTAACTGACGATTTAAAATTGTATTTTTCAGATTTATTTAGGTTCTATTATTCATAATAATTTGCGTTAATGTATATTATAAAATTATATTCGTTTAGCTCGTAATTCCAACCTCAAGAGCAGAGTTACTCAAGTGAAATAGTATACCCCTACTGTATTTGTTTAATACTATTGAAGACATTTAATAAATATACAGGGTGTCCCGCGAGGATTTATCCATTGCGATATCTAACGAAATAATGGAGATATCAAAATTCTGGTTTTATAATATGATTTACTGGGATAAGAACTACAATTATTTCATTTTTTAATTTATTATAATGTTTTTGTAAAAAATGTAAAAATTATATTTTTTTATTTAAATATTTCCAAAAATATTAAAGATAGCCATTTTGTAGAGTTTAATTTTCTGAAAATATTGACGTTTCAAAATTGTATTTGCATTAATTTCCTGATTTTTAATATTTTTTCTAGTTTTGAAGAAATAAAATATGATTATATTTATAATGTATGACTATTAGGAACACGGAAGGTATTCGGCCGGCCGTATGAGAATGCGCGCACCGCGGCGGGTCACATGTTTGATAACATTACGGTGTTAATTAAAAATTCGCAATTTTTCTCGAAACTAAAAAAAATATTAAAAATCAGGAAATTAATGAAAATAAAATTTTAAAACATCAATATCATCAGAAAAATAAACTCTACAAAATGGATATCTTTAATTTTTATGGAAATAATTAAATAAAAAAATATATTTTTTAACTTTTTTACCAAAACATTAAAATCAATTAAAGTATAAAATAATTGTAGTGACGTGAGTCTTATTACAAAATCAGAATTTCGATATTACCATTATTTCGGGAGATATTGCAATGAGTAAATCCTCACGGGACACCCTGTATATTTTTCATATCGTATTCTATTGTGTTAGTCTTAAACACAGTTCATATTTTGCCGAGTAAAATATAACTTAGATCACATTATTAGTATCAATTTAACAACCCGGTTAGTGTAGTAAGAATTATTAGCCAACAACTACTCTTTAAGAGGACGCCACATCCGCATAAGTTGTCTCCAATTCTCCATCTTACATCAAGTGCGTACCATAGCAAATTTTACGCTCAACAGTTTCAATTTAGTTCCGTTAGTTTAAAATTTAGAGTGAATTGACCTCTCATAAAAATTAAAGGTAACATTATTATCTAGGTTATCAAAGAGATTTTTTTATTATATTTTAATTTTGAAGCGAGTTATGAGTATTTTAAGATATTCAAACAATTTAAAATTTTAAAAATACTCATAACTCGCTTTAAAATTAAAATACAATAAAAAACCTATGTGATAACCTAGATAATAATGTTACTATTGATTTTTATAAAAGGTCAATTCACTCTAAATTTTAAACCAATGGAGCTAAATTGAAACTGCTGGGCGTAAAATTTGCTATGTTACGCGCTTGTAAGACGGAGACAACACCATGCGGGTGTGGCGTCCTCTTAACTGGATAGGATTCAGTAAACACATCGACAACCACATTTACTTATAATCAATAATCAAAAGGAGTACATACCTAAATATACGATAAGCCAATAAAAACAAAGACGTACCTATAAACTTATTTTCATAACTCAAATCTGTTATTGTGTTGTAGTAGATAGTAAGTTATAGAACCATTAACTGTGAATAATTTTAGAGGTAGATTGTCCGACACTTCCAAAGTTCCAACCAATCATAACACTCTTTTTTCGATTTTCGAATAAACAGGCTGTCGATATTAATATTATTATCAGTTGAGAAGTAGGTAAAGATGTTTGATTGATTATTCTTTACTAACCAGTTCTAAGTTCTAATAACTGAGTTTTTGGACTGATCAAAATAAAGTTGTAGAAGTTATTTGACAGGTGTTGCCAACTTTTACTTTAAAAACTCACACGGTCAAAYACGATATAGAAATATATTTTCAAACATAGGCTTATAATAGATGTATTATATTATTATAAGTCTATGGGTTCAAAATATWATTAAACCGTGGTAGGTACATAAATTTCTAAGTAATCCTGTTCTCATGGATGGTGTTTGAAGATCACAGGTTGCTTAAAAATAAAATTTTGATATTTTTTATATTAAATTTAATGAGAGCAATTATCCATTGGTTAATTGATGGTAATATTACTGAAATTATTTTTTAACAGTGTAAATTGATGTATATGCCAATGCGGCCAATAATTTTACATAGGTAGGTACTTTACATTAATATTTATGTTAATTTGAAATTCAAAGAAACATCATAGATTCACAGAAACTAAAATTAATATTTAAAGAATTCTTAAACTTTTATTTTGAGTTAAAATGGCTTAATATATTAAATATATACGTAACGTATATAAATATAAAACACAACTGGGAACATAAATTAAAGATTATCAATGTTAAAACTGATWTTACGAAAAGATAAAGTTACGTTGTTTTAAAATATGGCCAGTATTTACAATCGTATTGGTTTAATTGTTGTTAAATATATAACCGATAGTTGGACTTAACTACTTGTGACACTATAGGTTTAGTATTTTCGAAATAACAATAAACTAACCGAAATATTTTTTTAACCAACTTTGCACCTGACCTACGAGGTTTTTTGAAACTTTCTGAAATCCTTAATTTATTAATAGTCATTAAATAAGTAGATAATTATTCTAAAAACGGCCCACTCAATGACTATAAACTTACCACACCTATTTAAACATATCGATTATTATAGGACTAGGTACCTTACATACGACTTTTAGAACCATTACCAATAGGTAGGTACATTACTGTATGTGTGTTGAAATGGACATTATTTTTAGGGGGAAACTATATATATTTTTTATTTCTTAACCTCTTATTTTGTTCACTACTATAAGAAARTAATTTTAATTAAATTTGGTCATGACTCAACCACTCCGCGTGCCACGAAGTAGTTATAAATTGCAAAATATTGTTTTTTTTTTTGAGCTTAAAAATATTAAACTTATCAAAAAATGTATGATACTATAGATGCATAAATTGTTAATAAAAATAAATTTATAACATTTCTCATAAATCTATTATTTTTCCATGAAAAATAATAAAATACTTTTTATTGAATCTGAGCGCACGGTAGTGCGCCGGACAAGTTCCAACAATGCCAGATTATCACTKCATTGTATATTTGTATGTAACTAAGATATTTTTTTTTATAGGTAGCAATATAAAAACACTTACGAGTTACGATCATATAACTGTTATGCGTTATTATTATTTAAATACTTATTTTCATAACCTTCACGGGTAAAATATTTTCAGAAGATAAACAGCAGCCACATCACCCTTCTCATGTTATATCTCCTGCGCCTCCAACGTCTTCCGCCAACATAAATGCTTTGAAGTCATTAGCACCGCCATCTTCACAACTTAACTGCCACATAAAACCAYCCAAGGATGAGGACTCGACTTCAGCAGCTGCTGCTGCAGCGGCTGCATATAATCAGCAAAATGCTATTTGCACGTAAATAAAGAATACTATTATAAAAACTTACCCGCGCTAATATTATTTTATACTTGAAAAATTTAACTTTTTTTCACACATAACTTTTCAGAGCACTCGCCACACACATGATATGTGCTTCACAACTCGCTGCTGCACAACAACCAATGTAAGAAATGTTAATTTTCATTATTTAGTCTAATAAAATTAATAGATCTTTTACTTAAAATAATAGGTACCTATGATTAWAATAAAATATCAGTCTGATATCAAACTGTAAGAGTGTTATTATCTAGTTATTCTAAAAGTACACATTTATATTTAACTGTTTAACTTTTAACATTCTAGTTGTACAGATATTTATTTAGTTATAAAAATTACTCATTTTTTACTACTAGAATTTATCATAAATACATATTATCTATATACTATGTATGTGTGTGTTTAGGTTTGAGAATCTGGAAAGTGGCAACCCCACTAAAAAACCAAATAATGTATACAATAACAATAATAATAACATCAAAACAAATAATATGATGGGTGTAGTGAACCCAGCTGTATTGGAAAAATGGATGATGGAGGAGAGGTAAGCGATAAACTATCTTTTAGTAGGTACCTACCTATATTGTATTTAGTAATATATATAGAATTAAAGAAAAATAACTAAAATKAAGCAAAAAAGTTGTTTGAAAAATTAATCAAATAAAATTATAATTTTATGCTAAAATCGACCATGATGGAAAAAATTGAATTCTCATAACAGGGTGCGAAAATAGCAAATGATTTCAAAGACATGTTTAGCACACTGTTTAATTGGCCAAGATTTAGGTTAACAATGTTAGCGAGTACTACTATGGAACAATTTATAGATAAACCGTCTAATAGAACTGAAAATAGAAACGATTACAAAACGGCAAGTGTAATTATTCCAAAATGTCTGAAAAGTGACGGAAAAACCTGATAAATAAAATTTTATGGTAGCAATAGATCAAATCCCAGAAACATAGAGTACGTCCATCCTACAACTGTTACACAAAAAAGAAGATCATAATGATGGATTGTAAGAACCGTATAGAATAATAAATGTTTAATACATCATATAAATTAAATATCTAGGTACTTAACATTATTCTGCTAAACACAATAAAACTATTTATCAATGAAATAATATTTGATAGTCAGTACCAAACAGAGTTTTTGGTATCCGGCAGGTAAGGCTTAGATCAGATCCAAGTCACCAAATAGATACTTAACTGAAAAGAGCTATGAATTTGATAAAGATGATGTCGACATGCTCATTGTAGATTTGTAGGTAGTAGACAACATACGACTCAGTATGTTCGTTAGATATTACAATATTTAAAGTGTGAGTACCAGGTTCTAAATGCTAAGTTATTGAAAAACACATTCTGAAGAGTTGAGGAGACCCTTTATCGCTTACCTTGCTTAACATTGGAATTAGTGTACAGACAAACCATCAAGTAATCAAGAGCATGCAATTCCCCCCTCTCGTTTATAGCAAACAAATATCAGTGGAGTTAATGAGTGGTGGTGAATCTTATGTAAACATGAAATCAAATAAAAACTCATAGCAGAAAACAAATCTCAYCACAGACAATTGTCTACTGAACCTGTTTAAATCAAAAATTATAGTCAATTTTGGAAAAATAAAAAKAAATATTTTAAAATCATTAATTTGTTTATGTTGAAATAAATTTTCATATTTTTTTTAGATATTATTACAATAATAATAATAACAACAACAAAAACATTACTGGTGGTCACTCACATCACCAGAGGTATAACGCGGCCGCCGCAGCGGCTGCTGCTGCAGCAGCTGTCGAATTGTTGAGTGGTGGCGTATCTGCATCGTCAAGTGGTGGCGGTGGCGACAGCTTAGCATCGTGCAAAAAACGTAAAAGACGCACTTCGTTCACACCTCATGCCCTAGAATTGTTAAACGGCCATTTTGAACGCAATACACACCCATCAGGTAAAAAAAATTCATATCATAATAATATAGACTATAGTAGGCAATATTTTATGGCTTATTACTAAGTAATAAGATACTTACTAGTAGGTAATTAGTAGATTGTAATTTATACATCCAAAGTACACATAACATTGACCATTGTTTACATTAAGTCGATAGAAATAAACTTGTAATTCATATTTAGAACCAATTAAAAAACGAAAAATACTAAACACCCATATTGTTGTCACTGATTTAATGGTGCATGAATTAAAAAAAAAAAAAAAAAAAAAAAAAAAAAACTATCATTGAAATATACAAAATTACAGACCATCACATGAACAAGTTTAATTATGACTCATTATATATAATAATTATTTTTTAAGCACTACGAACGTTTTCTTCCTAAGAAAATAAATATACTTTTTAATCATTTTGAATGTCTTAATACATTACAAGTGCTATTTTTTTTCGATGAATTCGTGAAATTATTTTACGACGCCTACTATTAAATTGTGTTTAACAAGAATAAAACATTATAGAAGTACAATATTTTTTCTACTTAGTTCATAGCATATTTGAATATTGTGTTATTAATGTCAATACCTTTCCGTTTTCAGGATCTGAAATCACTGGACTGGCACACAGATTAGGCTACGAACGTGAAGTGATACGCATTTGGTTTTGCAATAAACGTCAGGCGTTGAAGAACACTGTTCGAACTATAAATGGCAACGGTCCGACCCATATGACTGGCACAAAATCTCAATCTCATAGCAACACAAGTGGTTATTAATCACTGTATTATTTATAAATTTTACGTTGTGTCCAAATAATGAACCATACCCAGTTTTCCGACAATCACGAAGTAGCATCTGGTCATGTCCATATCTCTTATGCCATTTTTTTTACGCAAAAACTCTACCGGAAGAATTATTTTCTTTTTTTCATTCACAATACCCGTCGATTCATAAGAATAACTAGAGGTTAAAAGACCAAAAATTGGGAGGAATCGTTCTATAAAACAACATGTTTAATTTTTTTCATAATTTTTTTAATTGTTTTAAGTGTCTAATTATAATTAATAGATGTTAATTTATAACTTTTAATATTATGTTTGGATTTTCATTAGTAGTTTTAAAAGAAAACTATAACTATATTCCAAATAATAATATGAAATAAAATATTTTTTGTGAAATAATAATAGTAAATAGTACCTATTTAATATGTGTAAATAATGTTAGTGTACAATATGGTTAAGTTTAAAAACTAACTTATATTTCAGTGAAAATAATATAAGCTTAAATTAAGCTATATATGTAATCATTTAATTATTAATTATATAATGCATGTCAAAGTATGAAATTAAATCTTATATCAAGTCAAAGTTACCAATTGATAGACTGTTAAAAAAGCACTAGGTCTTTTACAAATAATTGGAAAAAGCCATTTTAAATAGTACATTTGGAACCTATTGCAACCAATAACAAACAACATTTTAACAAATTATGTGTCAAATATTTAGTTTTTGTTGTACTACCTAACAGTATATCTTAAAATGTGTTTGACTTAAGAATAATAATTAATTTTGTCATATATTACAATAATTGTAATATACATCTAGTCAAAAGTGTAACTTCAATACCATAACTAGGAAACTAGATCTATAGCAGTACATAGAATTTACATAATACTTTTAGGAGAGGCTATAAAACATTTCCTAAGAGCCAATTCTTCCATACTTCCAATTGCATTAATGCATCTAGCTTTAATGATTTTAAAAATTATACATTATTATTGTATTAATATACTTTAAAGAAGGAATATTTGGTCTCTTAACCATTGAAAAGTAACTTACAGTTAATACCTAATAATTTTATCTTAACATGCCTTATAACAAATATTTAATTTATATCTGTATAATATTTGTACTATGTATAAGCAGTATTGTAAATTTTCACATGTCAGTCTGCGTGTGTAACTGTATGTGTAAGTGTGTGCTTGTAAATGTATATGTGTGTATATTTACCCTATTAAAATGAGATAGTTTTTTTGGTATTTTAACCGCCTTAGATTATTTCATCTTATGTCAAGACTGTTAAGTATTAAAATCGAAATTATTGATGTAAATGAGGTAGTAAATTAATATTAATAATAATAAAAAAAATTATAAATATTCTTTAGTTTTTCTTCTTTATTTGATATTGAAACGTGTATTTTTTTAAGTTAGTGTTATAATAATTTGATATGTTATACCATCATTAAATAAACTATAAGATAAGCACATTATTAATGATTGTTTTTCTTTATACAAGCATAAATTTGATGATATAAATCTATTATAAATATTTATACTAAGTAGTGCTATTTTAAACTCTGGATACAATATTTACTTTATAGCATAGTAAAGAATAAAAAATATATAAATGACTAGAATATGAACATATTTATAGTATTTACTATTTAGAACAATTATTCTGACTTATATGAAAAGGTCGGTATAGTTTTCAAATGTGGCATAAATTTTGCACATAAAAGACAATATACAAAACCCACAAAAGTAGTAACCAATAAATATTTTACATACATTATAMACTTTTTTCAATAATAGCCTTAATGTTTAATCACACACATTAAATAATATTAAACTTGTAGCTTTTAAATAAATTTAATAGGATCATTAAACATCAACCTCTAAGCATATTTGTGTTAACTACAAATTACAAGAACAGAAAATTTGCTTTAATACTATGAAATGTACTATTTAATGACTATACAAAACATAGTACATGAATATGAAGAGAGAAGAATATTTAATACATATAATTGTTTTTATACTTACAAGTTTTAAATACATAATTAAGTAGACAAGTGTTTATTTAATAAGTAGTAGACTAATACTAGTTAAAAAAAATGATATTTCTTTATGCTATCGGCTGCTACATCAGTCACCAATAAATAATATGATGAGCATTGTTGACTATCATCGATAACAGAATCTTGAAGTTCAGCAAATGCTACCATACCAGCTGGACGACGTAATTTGCAGCCATTGGAATCAACAGTGTTAATTAATTTTTCAGTGTTCATATCAATCAAATCAATTACATATGAGTTAAAGTGACGTCTAGTAGCCAGTATAAAATTATTACAAGTAGCCAATGAGGTATACAAATGTGTGGCTAGTAAAAAATTAAAACATATATTACTTAGAAGACTAAGACTATTCAGTAAAAATACTATTAATATTTTTAAYAACTACTTACATTTTTCTGTAGCTGCCATAACTGTGATTGACCGCTCATAAGTGCCTTTGCATGAATATATATCTAAACAGCGACATCCAGTAGTAGTTATACCAGAAATTACAATGATCTGTGAATTTGGCCCAATTGCCATAAAGGTACCAACACATTCGGCAGATTTTCCATTA